AGCGGGGCAGAGCTCAAGATCGCCGCGAGGCGGGGAAGCGCCGTGTAGACGGACGGGGCCGCGGGCGGCGGACAGCCGCTGCCCTCGCTCGCCCGCGAGCCCGAGCCGAAGCGCGACCCCGAAGCCGACTCCGACCCTGATCCGCCCCAGCCGCGGAGCCGACCGTCGCAGGAGGCGAGGCAGCGCCCGCCTGCCCACCTTTGCGCCCCGGACGGGGCCCGCCCCGGGAAAAAAACGCTGGAGGCGGGCGCGAGCTTGTCGCTCTGCTCCCTCCCTCCCGCGCGATCTAGCTGCCCGCCGGCCGGGACACGGGCTCGGCGGGAGCCTGACGACCAGCCGGCTTGAAGCTCCGTGCCCGGAATAATGCGTACCCCTCTCGCCTACGTGTGGCGCCGGCTTCCCGCCGAGCAGAGCGGCCGGCGACGAGCTAGGAGGATTGCCCCTCCCGCCGCCCCCCCCGCCCAACTGCTCGGCGGGGCTGCGGTGCGGCGGGCGGGGGGGGGGGGGGGAGAGGAGCCGGTGCCGCTCGACAAGCCGAGAGCGCGGCCGCGGCCCCTGGCTGCATCGGGCTGCCGCTCGCTCTGCCGTCGGGGGCTCTGGCTCACCTGCGAGCCACCCGTGCGACTCTGCGTGGCTGGGCGTGTGTCACTGCAGTCATCGATCCGCGCAAAACAAGGTGAAGAGAAGGCGCGCAACGAAAAGGCGGCGCACTGCCAGCAAAAGCCAGGCCAAGCTGTGGTGGTTTTACCTTGCTGGGCAGCTAAACCCCACAACTGCTCTCTCACTCCCCCTCCTTTAGATGAGGAGGGGAAGGAGTAAAGCAAAGAACAACTCATGGGTTGAGATAAGGATAAGTTAATTAAAGGGAAATAATTATAATAATTAAATAAAGACTACCATGAACTAAACAATTTAACTAAGGGGAAATAAAAAGGGAAAGGGGAAAAGGGAGGGGAAAAAGGGAAAATAAAAAGAAGGGAGGAAAACAAACAAACAAAATAAATGAAAGCTATATGGAAGTGCAGAGGAAAGAAATTACTCTCTACTTCCCACAAATGAGCGATGATTGACCACGTCCTTGAAGCAAGGCCTCAACGCACGCATCCAGTGTTCGAGAGGACCGACGTCTTCTCAACGAGAGCCCACCCCTCCCCTCTTGTTACTGTTTCCACCTTTTATTGCTGAGTGTGACATCACATGGTATGGAATATCCCTTTGGTTGGTTTAGGTCAGCTGCCCTAGTGATGTTTCTCTCCTCACCTTTTGCCCACCCCCTAGGAGGGTTAGAGAAAGGCCCAATGCTGTGCCACTGCTGCTCAGCAGTAGACACAACACTGGTGTGATAACACTGCTGTTCCAGCTACAAGTACAGAGTACGGCACTGTATGGGCTGCTGCAAGGAAAGTTAACATTCCAGCCAGACCCAGTACACAAGCGGCGCCAGGAAAAGCAAAGCGAAGTGGAGGAGGAACGGCAAAGCGGAGCGAGGCAGAGCAGACGAAGGAAAAGCAAACGAGTGCCGCGAACGCGACGCAAAGCAAAACTCAGCGCTTCCACGAAAAGTAAAGCAAAGCAGGACCAGCAAAAGCAAAGCAAAGGGGAGGAACTGGCGGCCGGTCTCCCGCGGGCTCAGTGGCTCTGGCGGCGGGTAGACGAGGCGGCCAGAGTCTGAGAGCGAACGCTTTCTCCGCACGCTTTGTACAACCTCTCGTCTCCCCGCCGACAAGCGGGACCCGTGCTTTCTTGTTGCTGGTGCTGCTGCTGTTTTTTTTTTTTTGTTTGTTTTTTTCTTTTTAAAAGCATGAACGATTCGAATAAATGGCACCTCCCACCCATTCCCCTGCACGCGAGAATTGTGTGGATAGACCTGGCGGACCGCCGGAGGGAAGCGTGCGGGAACGCGCGCCTGTGCACGCGTGCGTCCGTGTGGCCGTGTAGACGAGGCAGCCGGGCCGCCCTCTAGCAGTGGCCGTGATGGCTAGACCAATGGCCGTGACGGCGGGGTAGACCTGATGGCTCCACGAGGCGGGAGGGGGCAGGGGGGGAGTGGGGAGGAGGGAGAAGTAGACCTGGTGGCTCCACGAGGAGGGAGGGGGCGGGGGGAGAGAGCGGACCCCGGCTGCTTCGCGCCGCCGCTCGCTCTGATGTCAGAGGTTCTTGCTCGGCCGCGAGAGGCTCGCCACCTGTGCCACTCAGTGCGGCTGACTGCCTGGCCGCTTTGCTTTAGCTGCTTTGGAAAAAAAAAGCTGTTCTCTTTATGTTTATTATTAGTTAGTTCCGTTGCCTGTTTTCTGCTGTAGCTTTAGGAATCCTGTCATTCCTTACCGTCTTTCAAAACCTCCCCCACCCCCCCACTCCTCAGCTCCCCCTCCTCCCCCCCCCCGCCTCCTCAGGCAAACGGCAGTTGAGCTCAGGTGGCGGCTCCCCAGTCAGCAGGGGTCCTGGAATAGACTTGGCTGGGTGGCCAACCCCCACACCCCCACCTGCCAGCTGCGAAGGGATGGTTGGCGGGCTGTGGGGAGGCCGAATTAGGTGACCCAGCGTTCCCGACTGTGTAAACACATCAAAAGAGCAAAAAAGCAAAGCAGAGTAGGAAGAGCAAAGCAGAGCAAAGAAAAGGATTCGGTGCTGGGAATACAAACCAAAACCCCCCAAAAAATATAGAAAATATAGAAAAGGGGGAAATCCTACAAAAAGGGGGTAAATCCTATAAAAAAACAGGGAAATCCTATAAAAAGGGGAAAATCCTATAAAAAAGGGAAAAATCCTATAAAAAGGGGGTCAAATCCTATAAAAAGGGGGGAACCCAACTGGATGAGCCCCCAGCAGCTGGAGCAGGCCCTACAGCAGCGCTTCCCGGGCTGCATGGAAGGTCAGACCCCAAAACGGGGAGAAATCCTATAAAAAGGGGGGAAAAATCCTAAAAAAATGGGGAGGGAGAAAGTCCTAAAGAAACGGGAAAAAAATCCCATAAAAAAGGGGGAAATCCTACAGAAAAAGGAAAAAATCCTATGAAAAGGGGGTAAATCCTATAAAAAAGGTGGAGAAATCCTATAAAAAGGGTGAAAATCCTATAAAAAGGGGAGAAATCCTATAGAAAAGGGGGTGTCCTAGTTTCAGTTAGAATTAATTTTCTTCCTAGTAGCTGGTGGAATGCTGTGTTTTGGCTTAGGATGAGAAGAGTGCTGATAACACCCCGATGCTTTAATTGTTGCAGAGCAGTGCTTATACTAAGCCAAGGACATCTCAACGGGCAGGCTGGGGGTGCAGTAAGAGCTGGGAGGGGACAGACCCAGGACAGGTGACCCAAACTAGCCAAAGGGGTATTCCATACCATCTGACGTCATGCTAAACAATATATAGGGGTGGCTAGCTGGGGGGGGGGGCGGACTGCTCGGGGTTAGGCTGGGCATCGGTCAGCGAGTGGTGAGCAATTGCATTGTGCATCACTTGTTTGTACATATTATTATTACTTTCCTATTATCACCATTGTATTATTATTATTATTATTGTTATTATTATTTTTGTTATTATTATTTTCCTGTCTTGTTAAACTGTCTTTATCTCAACTCACGGGCTTCACTTTCCATTTCTCTCCCCCGTCCCAGAGAGGGAGGGGGGAGAGTGAGCGAATGGCTGCGTGGTGTTTAGCTGCTGGCCGGGTTAAACCACGACAGTCATTTTGGCGCCCAACGTGGGGCCCGAAAGGTTGAGATAACGGCAGATCTCGTCAGAGTGTGTTAAACTAAAATTGGTGTAAGGATTAGACCTGCTTAATAGTCACTTGTCATGATGCTGATTGCTTTAATCTCAACTCTGCTGCGCCTGTTTTCCAAATTGAGTATTATAGTACATTATTTTCCATATTTGCTCTCTGTCATGTTGTTTATCCTCTCCGGGCCCTGGTTTCAGATCATTATGGTACTGTGTGTTATAGAAATGGCTTATGAGATGATAAGATATC